AAAAATATGAAATAGATATGAGTAACTTAATGTTTACAAGATTACCTATTGTCTATCTATCTATCTATGTATGGGGTACTGTACTGCTTTAGACAAGACTTACGGTAAATGATAAATAGACCCTACTGTAACTAGCCTCTATGTACGAGCCTTAGGACTTACTGTACTGTGAGTATGAGGCTTATTGCTTGTCTTACTGCTTGTCTTACTGCTTATCTTACTGTCTTATTATACTACCGGCCGTTTTTCTGGATGTTTTGGGGATGGACGACTATTGTCGCCATGGAGCAGTGGATAGCGCGCCGGTCTATCGCCCATACAATCCGGGTTCGACAACTCGAATTGTGCTTTTTAAAAAATCCAAAAGCACGTTGAACAACTAAGTATTTCTCTATATGTAATTCTCTATTCAACGGCGCAAAAATCATCGCAAAAGGTCTTCTGGGGGCTGAGGAGCAGCGCGCACAGACAGACAGACGAACAGACAGACGAACAGACAGACAGACAGACAAACGGACAGACAGACAAGTAGACAGACGGACGGACAGACAGATAAGCAGAGAGACGGACGGACAGACAAAAGTCCCTTTATATATAGTAGATGGTAACAAGGTCTTACTGTACTTGAGTATCTTTATTTGAGTACCAGATCTTACTGTGTGAAAAGATCTGTCTTACTGTAGGGCAAGGAACTAGAAAAGCGAAGTCTTACTGTAAATGTCAAAGCCTCTAACAAAATGTCTTCAAGTTCTTAACTTTTAGATAATCCCTACCGCTGAAGAGTCTCCAAATCGAATCTCTCTTGTCACCTCGATCAACTCCAAATCGGCTTGCGAGGTTCGATCGGGAGCCGCCTCTCCATCTGATTGAAACTTTGAAATAAAATTTTGTTTATAAACTTTGAGTTAAAAAGTTGAATGAGCATCCGACAACTCTTCCCATATCGACAAGCACATCGGCAAGGATTGTTCGATTTTGGCCACAATATGAAGCTAGTGGGACAATCAATTCGTCTTCTCTGAAAAGTTGAGCTTTAGAAAATGAAATCTACTTTTTCTTGTCACTTCTTTATTATCAAAATCGTTTACAGTACGGAAACGGAAAAGTAAAACTAAATTTCTTTCATTCTTTTTAAGTTTACGTAGCAGAATACTGTTTTTTCATAGTCTAACAGCTACGGTAAATGTCTCTATAGTATGGTTCGCTTTTGCTACAGTATGCTTTACTTTCGTCACAGTATGTCACAGAGCATAGCTACAGTATGTCTCAAACAATAGCTACAGTATGTCACAGAGAATAGTTACAGTATGTCACAGAGAATAGCTACAGTATGTCACAGAGAATAGCTACAGTATATCACAGAGAATAGCTACAGTATGTCTTAGTTTTTATAGCTTAACTTTACACTCACTCCTTATTTCCACCAATTGTCCCCTTGAAGATGCTCATTTTTGTGAGTTTTGGCTGAGAACTTGCATCGTAGCGAAGACTATGTAGACTGGGACTGAAACCGGGCTAAAATAAAGATTACAATAAGTGGAAAAGTTGACACTCTTACCGTAATCTCGACATTTGAGCTGTTCGTTGTGGGGAAGCAAAATGAGAGCCCTCGCCACGATTGGACATACATCTTTTGTCGTTCGTCATACGCTGAAAAGGTAAACTTTTGAAGCAGCAGAAGTTAAAAATTATCTAGTGAAAAGTTCAGGTATCCATTTGACTTGGTATCCTCTTGAACTAACCTCCTGGATGAGTACTCGCGAAAAAAGTGCCAACACGTTCCATTGTCGCTTCAGCCGAGGGTTCCGAGAAGATTTTGCCACTAAAATGAGGCTTTATCTTTTGTCAAAAACCACCGTAATCTGTCAAATTTGTCAAATCTGTCAAAAGAATGTCAAAACTTATAAAAAATAAATATATTAATTTCAAAACATACTTGTACTTGAGCACAATCGAGCTCAACGCGTCCACTTCGAGCAACTGAATAATTTTGAGTTTGTAATGCTAATTTTTTTGCTTTCAAACCTTCAAAAGTTGAGTTCGACCATCAAAAAAGAGATTGATGCCAGATTTGACGAGTCGAATTTGGATGTCATCAAAAAATGGATTCTGAAAGAATTCCAACTAATCTGTTCTAACCAATCTAATCTAGTGACTCAGTTTTCTTGTTTAAATTTTCTAAAACGGCTAGAGTATTTACGGTAATTGCTCAGGCTCAGGCTCAGGCTCAGCACAGTAAATCAATTGGAGTACGGTGGCATTCAACTTTAACAGCAATGCTGACTGATAGAGAGTCTAATAGAACCGAACTTTGAGCTCAAGACAAAACGAACAATTTAAAACCAATGCTGACTGATAGAGAGTCTAATAGAACCGAACATTGAGCTCAAAACAAAACGAACAATTTAAAACCAATGCTGACTGATAGAGAATTTACTAGAACCGAACTTTGAGCTCAAAACAAAACGAACAAACCTTTTTCGAGTAAAGAAAGTCGACATTGGGGATGAGTCGTGAGTTCTGTTGTAGAAGAGCCATCACATCATTGAGTGGAGTTCCAAGAATGAAATGAATAGTGGAGTGTTTGAGGCCGATCTCCGGGACAACCTCGAACTCCAATGGGGCATTTGATGTCATTTCGGAAGAATATACTGTAAATTGAGGCTTTCATTAAATACTTTAAAAATAAAGCACGAATATCTTCAAAATTGCAACAATTTTTCCAAAAAGCTTACAATACAAGAGTCATATTTGAAAGAAGGTTGGGTAATCGTGGATTAGATTTTAAAAAGAGTAATATGTATAGAAGCTAGGTTTTTCAGATTATTTTTGGTTCAATTGAATACTGTAAAAGGCTTGCAAAATCCAAATAAACGTAGAAATTAAGGAACCGCTCATTACGCTTAAGCCATTTTGCCTAAAACCCATTTCGCCTAAAACTTTAAATGCAAATGTAAATTAACGACAAAGCAAGGCAAAGTTACAAAGATTTGGCAAAAGACGTGAACGTCGATTAAAAAGCGTATCAACTTGTCGTCGAGTAAAAAACTTAAGTACCCTTTGTAGACATAACTTCTCTAGCATTTCTTTTCTTTAACTACTAGCATAAAAATAAACTTTATCAACACCAAATCCGTGAATGTAAACAAATTAACAAGCAAAAGATAACAATGCGATAACCAACAATGATCCTAGAAGATCCTAGAAACCACAAGAAAAACCATAAATCAACCTAAAGTTTTAGCAATTTCAACAAGAAAATACGTACCGTAAATACTGTAATAGTACCCCACTCCCTCGTACAGTCGCGTAGGCGCAAAAGTTTTTTAGTATTTCATTTTTTGCAAAGCACCCGTACTTTCAAAAAATGTGTCTTTGGTATCAAAAAATAGCCCTGAATTTCAGCTATTTTTTTGATACCTACGCGCGCATTGTAGCATAAACCACCAGTGTCGAGAAAAACTCATTCAAAACTAGACCAAGCAACACTCCGCACCGTCATTATGGGGGTGGGGTACTATTACAGTATTTACAGTAGGATTATTGAAATGCAAATAACGGTGACAAAGACTTTGTTGGGTGACAAAGACTTTGTTGGGTGCCAAAGTTGGAGCGTGATCTGCTTAATAACCGTTTTAGGCAAATGGCAAAATGGCGTTAGGCAAAACGGGTTTTAGACAAAATGGCGTTAGGCAAAACGGGTTTTAGGCGAAATGGCGTTAGGCAAAACGGGTTTTAGGCGAAATGGCGTTAGGCAAAACGGGTTTTAGGCGAAATGGCGTTAGGCAAAACAGGTTTTAGACAAAATGGCGTTAGGCAAAACAGATTTTAGGCGAAATGGCGCTAGGTGAAACAGGTTTTAGACAAAATGGCGTTAGGCGAAACAGATTTTAGACAAAATGGCGTTAGGTGAAATGAGGGGAACCGAAATCATCATATAAACATAGAAAAACATTAAATTCAAATCACATTTGATAGGCTAATTCTGGCGAGCTAGCTTTCTGGCGAATGTTTTCTTAAAAGAAACTGCCAAAGTTCCAGCTCATTTTCCCCAAGTCTAACAGATTAATGCGAAGAAAACTTACCGAAAAGTTATGCAATGTTTCAACCCAAATAAGGCTATCGACAAGCGAAAATCAAGCGCCAAATCGTAGTTTGATGCGCGTGACAAAACGCGACAGTACAAATGACGGGCGCATTTTGGAGCGCAAACGCCACATTTCCCCAAAAATTCGAGCATTTAAATTTTTGTAGTGCTCATTTTCGAACGAGTCTTTTGTGTTAAAGTTTTCTTTTATTGTTGTTAAAGTTGAGTTTATTGAGGTTGATAGGTTTGTAAGGGAAAAATTGAATGGCTCGAGGTTTTTGCGTGTTTTTCATGAAATTCAGTCAACTCCTTCATTTGGAAACCTTTAGAAACTTGAAAAGACTCAAGATTTTCATTTTTTTTTGCTTACAAGCTTTGGATTAAACATGTGTGTTGTCAAATAACCCATCATTTTACCCCTTTAAGATATCACGGGCACTTTTTCCGAGCCGTACAACATGCGCACTCTCAGTCGGTAGTCGAAAGGGTAGTTTTTTGGTGGAGGCATCCGAATATACCCATTCGCGTTTTGCGGTTTTTGCGGTGCGTCAAATGCGGTTTTTGAAACAATGAAAAACAACAATGCTCCGTTTTTTTGCGCTCGGCTCGTCTCGATTCTATTCCTTTGTATCTATCTATTATCTAGTTTTTTTGTAAATTTGTTCAAGTATTTGAGTTAGACAGACATTTGCTTCATGTATTATCGAGTGAAGTAGCCCCAGCGTTCCCCGCTCCCCTTTCTGAACGCTTTCGATTTCTTTCTTTGCTCAGCTTTGATAATCAAGTCAAATTTAGTTTTCCTTGAGTTTTCAAACACTCTAAGCGAAATCTCTCTTAACCAAGCGAAATATATCTCGTGTCCGTTAGATGCCCGATTGCTCATCGTGTGTGAAGCGCTAAAAAAGAAGACAACATGCATCTTTACCACTTGACTCTACAAGGACAAACGTCAATCAATCAAGCTGTACACGGATCTTTCACTGGTGCTTCTAAACAACAGGTTTGATTTTGGCTTTTGAGAAGATTAAAATGAGGTTGGATACTTGGTGATCTTCTAATTCAAAGTTGGATTTAAAAATAAAGCAGTTAACGAATGAAATACTTACTTGATAAATTTATAAACCTTCTGAGGCAACAATCTAATGAATAAAGATTTAAATTTTAGCATCTTTATTTTAAAGGTTTCCATTCAAACACACTAATTTATTAACTCTAGGAAGTGTGCGTCGCTCGTGGAACCACTCTGCAACTCATTTTTTGTGATCCTAAATCGGGAAAGATTCAGGTTCAAAAATCCGTTTAATTTAATGCAAAAATTTTAGACACTTTGCACACAAGATGTGTTTGGAGTCATTCGCAGTCTTTACGCATTCAGATTGACTGGATCTAATAAAGGTTTTTCAATATTAATTGGATTCTTATGTTTTTTGTTTAGATTACGTGGCGGTTGGCTCGGATTCTGGACGAATCGCGATTCTCGAGTACAAACAAGAAAGGAATTTATTTGAACGAATTCATCTAGTGAGTTAATGTTTTGATAAGCTTAGCGGTTTATAACAAGCAACAATTAACATTTGTAAGCACACAAAAATTTGTTAAACTTGCCTGATTTTAGGAAACTTACGGGAAAACGGGATGTCGTCGAGTTGTGCCCGGACAATATCTTGCAGCCGATCCGAGAGGCCGTGCTATTATGATTGGTTAGTTTAAATCGTCTAATTGTGATTAAACTAAAAATTATAAGTTTTACTTGAACATTAACTTACTATTTTTGTATTAGAATGGCGTGTTTAGGTGCCGCTGAACGACAAAAGTTGGTCTACATCTTGAATCGAGACGTTGAGGCGCGACTGACGATCAGTTCTCCTTTAGAAGCACACAAGACTTACACGTTGTGCCAGGGAATGGTTGGCGTTGATGTCGGCTTTGAAAACCCGACATTTGCCTGTCTCGAGTTTGACTATGAGGTAGATTCTTTTTAAAATGATGTCATTATTATTTTTTGTAGGAAATCGATAATGATCCGACCGGAGAGAACCTGAAGAAGACACAACAACACTTGACTTTCTACGAGTTGGATCTCGGTTTGAATCATGTGGTGCGGAAGTATGCAGAACCGTTGACTGATCTTGGAAATCATTTAATTGCAGGTAGTTTTGACCAAAATGCATTACAATAACGAAATGATTCGCTAAATGATTGGGTACTATCCTGTTATACCACCCCATGCAAAGATTGATGTAAATGAGGTGGTTTAACAGAAAAGAGGGCCCAGGTGAATGGTTTTCTTGGGGTGGTATAACAGGAAAGTTCCAATATTGTATTTTATTTTTTTGTTTTAGTTCCCGGAGGACAAGAAGGACCATCGGGTGTGATTGTTTGCTGCGAGAACTACTTGGTATACAAAAATCTTGGAGATCAACCGGATATCAAATGTCCAATTCCTAGGAGAAGGGTCAGTTGTGGATGTTGATTAGAAGGATACGAATTTAATCATAGTTGCAACAATTTAAACACAAATTTCAAGTTTACCTTAAAGTATTTCAGAACGACCTTGATGACGCTGATCGCACACTGATGATTGTCTGTTCGGCCACTCACAAGACCAAATTGTTGTTCTTCTTTTTGGTGCAATCCGAACAAGGAGATGTTTTTAAGGTTCAAGCTAGAGCTTTTATTGATTTGGGTTCTGTGTACTAAACATTTAAACATTACTTCATTTTCACTTTAGGTCACTTTGGAAACCGATGAAGACCTTGTGACGGAGATGAAGATTAAATACTTTGACACTGTTCCTGTGGCGAACGCGATGTGCATCTTAAAAACTGGATTCCTGTTTGTGGCTGCCGAATTTGGAGATCAGTAAGTTGCATCACTTTGTTCGTTGTAAATTGTTCCTTTAGTCAATTGTATCAAATTGCCAACCTTGGAGACAATGACGATGAGCCCGAATACTCTTCTCGAATGGAACTGGAAGAGGGAGACACTTTCTTCTTTGCGGTATTTCTAAAATCTTTTGTCTAATTTAAAGATGTTTAGCCTCGGAGTCTGCAAAATCTTGTTCCAGTCGATACGATTCCATCACTTTGTCCACTAATCAATACACATGTAAGTTGAAATTTTCAACTTAGCTTGTTAACAAATGTTTCCTCATGTTTTTAGATTGCCGATCTGGCTCGAGAAGATGCTCCGCAAATCTATGCAATGTGTGGTCGTGGTGCTGGATCAAAGTTGAAAGTTCTTCGCAATGGTCTCGAAGTGTCAGAGATGGCCGTTTCTGAGCTTCCCGGAAATCCGAATGCTGTGTGGACAGTGAAGCGCAATGTTGATGGTTCGAAGTTTCATCTTTCTTACAACTACATTAAATTCAGACAAATTTGATGCGCACATCGTGGTATCTTTTTTGAACGCTACACTGGTGCTTGCTATCGGTGAAACTGTAGAAGAAGCGACGGATTCTGGGTAAGTAACGAGCCAAGTTTGAATATTAAAAGAAATTTAGATTTGTCGCCACTCAGCCGACAATTGGATGTGCTTTGATTGGTGATGACAGCATGCTCCAGGTTCTTAAAAATATTTTGGCAGCTTATTGTTGAATTTCTAGGTGTATCCAGACGGCATTCGTCATATTCGATCTGATCGGCGAGTGAATGAGTGGCGAGTAAGAAATGTCCAAGCAATTAAGACCAAGATGATCATTTAGGCGCCCGGTAGAAGAACGATTGTGAAGTGTGCATTGAATCGCCGACAGGTTGCGATCGGGCTGTCGGGAGGAGAGATTGTTTATTTCGAACTTGACATGGTGAGTTTGCATTTGAATCAACTATTCTTGATTCGAATTCTTCATTGATTGATTCAAAGTTTTGCTTTTTTTAGACTGGACAACTGAATGAATTCACCGAACGCCGTCAATTGCCAGGGGAGATTCTCTGCATGAGTATGTCCGAAGTTCCAGAGGGAGAGGTTAACGACAACTTTCGCAACCAACTATTTAACATTTATAGATTCGCTCTCGTTTTCTCACCGTCGGAGTGAGCGATTCTACTGTTCGTGTGATATCTTTGGATCCTTCGGACACACTTGCTCCATTGAGGTACTTTGGAGTGTCTGTAGTGTCTATTTACCTGAATTTTTAGTTTCCAAGCTTTACCTTCACCACCTGAGTCTCTTCTTTTATTGGAATCATCGAGTGAAGATGGAAAGGGTGTTAGCACAATTCACCTTAATATTGGCTTGCAGGTTTTTAAACCATTTGATCCTTAATTTTAAATTTAGAACGGATGCCTATTACGAACAACGGTTGATTCAGTTACCGGTGATTTGATGGACACAAGAACAAGGTAGCTTTGTTATTGAATACTTTTAAGAGTTTGCCTTTTAGATTCCTTGGCACTAGACCTGTTCGTCTCTTCCGTGTTCGTGTGCTAAACAAAGATGCGGTAAGAAAACTTATCATTCTATTTTTCATAACTATGTTAAGGTTCTCTGCACATCATCCCGATCGTGGCTCCTTTATCATTATCAAAATCGGTTCCACTTGACCCCACTCTCCTATCCATCGCTGGAATTTGCCTCTTCATTTGCGAGTGAACAGTGCGCTGAAGGCGTTGTTGCTATTACTGAAAATACACTGCGGTGAGCAAAATTCGATTCAACAAATATTGCATCGCATATAGCGGCCGTTGTAGTCAAAGTTTGCTGCAACGGACTGCTCACACTAGAAATAGGGTGATTATGCGTAAAATAATAGAAGATGCGTGTGCCGACAAAGCTGCACTCTTTGTTGGTTCCTAATACCCTTCTAACAAAAAGAAACCCGTTGCTAATGGATAAATTCAGGGAAAACTGATCCGATTTAATTATTGTTTTTAGGATTATCGCTGTGGAAAAACTCGGAGGGGCGTTCAATGAAGTCATTCACAAACTTGCATTGACACCTCGACGGTATATTTATCGATGTTATTGTATACTCAATTCTTGCTTATAGGATGGTTGTCCACCCATCAGCGAACACAATTATGATGATTGAAACTGATCACGCCACTTACACAGAACAAATGAAGAACAAGAAACGAAACGATATGGCCAATGTAAGCAATAAAAATATACCGCCAAAATGTTGTCTTTAGGATATTGAAAGTCTTGCCACTGATGAACAAGAGCTGGAACTTGCTAGGGAGATTGCCGAAGGAATGCGAAACACAAAACTTGATGAAAGCGTTTTTGGAACGGTCAAAGGAGCTCCAAGTAAAAATGTAGCGTTATGATTTCTAAATATTTTCGTTTTAGCGAGATGGGCTTCAGTTGTTCGTCTACTAAACGCGAAAACGGGAGACATTCACTCATTTTTTGAACTACCACAAGATGAAGCGGCAAAATGGTGACTAATTTAAGCTTTATTTGTAGAACTTTTGTTTTAGCATGACGTTGATTCAATTCCATGCTCAACCCGACACTCTCATGGTGCTTGTCGGATGCGCGATCAGCGTAAGCTTTACCTCTTGGACATTGATACCTACATATTTAATAGCTGGACCTATCTGGAGTGCTTTTAGGTGCGATTACGTCCGTACTCACACCGTGGTGGTTGCGTCTACACGTTCTTGTTGAGCAACTCTGGCGACAAATTTGATCTCGTTCATCGAACCCCAACTGAAGAGGTATAAATAGTAAAAACTTTTTTTTGCAGAGCTAAAAGACTAATAAAGGTGAATCAATTTTAATGAATCAAATTCTAGCCTGTGACGGCTGTTCATGACTTCCGTGGAATGGCTCTTATTGCACTCGGCAATCGCCTTCGAATCTACGAATTTGGAAAGAGGAAACTTCTGGCGAAATGCGAGAATAAGGTAAAGCTGTTGTAGTGTTGAAAATAGTTGTTGAAAAATCCCCAAAAAAATTGTAATCTGTTTAGTTTGTGTCTTGTAAGCATTCCTCCTCCGCCTTTTCTGGCCAATCGTTTAGAAATTTATTCCAAGTAGCAGCAAAAATTGTGACTAGAAAACGGAATCGGTTAAGTCTTTCAAATCGATTAGCTACCCGCAATGAGAATGTTTGAATATTAAAGGAATGATACGTGTATAATAATGGACACCGTTTCAATTAGATAAATAACTGTAACAAGTGAGATGAAGCAAAATTGGAAAATTTACGAAGAACTAGAGATCTTTATTTGCGTCACCACTGGGATTTGGAGATGCAGTGTAGGCATATAAATGGGGCGGAGAGGAGTTTCGTTGATTTCGCACAACACTATTTGGTCCTCCAGCGACCGGTCGTGCAACACTGTTGTAGGAGTTGTTATTTGTGTTGTTGGTGTACTAAAATGGTTTTTTAAGCAATGACCTTTCAATTTTAAGGTGTTCAGCTGATTTGATATTCTGCCTAATTATTACCGTTTTTATGTTGTTGGTCGTGTGGTTGAGGTGATGACAAGTGAGGAGTCGCTTGAAACAAATTCGAAACTCTCGATTGAACACCGTGTAGATGACCGGATTGAGGGCGGAGTTTAAGTAGCCAAGCCAGAATAGAATACTCCACATCACTCGAGATGTTTGCAGGCTGAGACCGTAGACTAAGGCGAAACCAAGCCAGCAAAGGATGAAACAGCCGGTGACAATGGCTACCGTCTTTGCAGCTTTGATCTCCAATGAAAGCCGCTTTTCGTAGGCACCCGCGGTCTAAATTTTGGAAATATTTTTGGTCATTGAGATGGGTTTACCTTATTCTTTGGCGCTCTTCTCATCAATCGTGCCAAGGGGTTTTTCGCTTTCCAACCGGTAGGCTTTTTAGGCTCTTCTTCCTCTTCACATTCCAACAATCCTTTGCTACATTTAGTCGGCGACCTAGAAATTAGCTTGACTTTTCATTTGTGTACTTTTGATTACCCAATGGGACTTGGCTCGGACTCGGTGCTCGATCTTTCCGGAATCGCCTTTGCACACATTAAAGCACCCTGTGAGCCGGTTGTGGATTTTCTCTCGGGTGTTGTGCATTCGTTCTTTGTTTGCTCGTAAGTGGGCAAGCCATCCTTTGAGTTAGTGTGATTTTTCGCCACCATGCACGGAGAACCGGATGCACCATTTCTAAATTTCTTTTTAGTTAAACTTTCTCTTTAAAGGTTTATTACCTGGTTTTATCACATACAGACGTCTTAAAAGTCGTCACATTCGACCCGCGATGAACTCTGAGCATTGGTAGGGACTCTTTATTGATGGCAGTGGGATGACTCATCAAATAACTTCTGGCATTCTTGTTGGCACTTTGGGTTACTTGCATCATTCCACTATAGATGCTCTTTGTTGCAGCTCTTGCAGCGATATAGATTCTCATGTAAACGAAAACAACGACAATCATGGGAATATAGAAGCTGCTGCTTGCGCTGAATATGATGTAAGCTCTTCCCGCATCAGCTGGTGTGCATTTGCAATCGTCGTTTTTCTTATCAGTCGAAGCCAACATGAATGACGGGGAACAGATTAGAAAAGAAGATATCCAAACAAAAGCCACGATACATCTCGCTCGAAATTTCGTCACCAACATTGGATAGTTCAACGGTTTGATAATAGCGATGTATCGATCGATGGAAATCGCAACAAGATTGTAAATGGATGCCGTACACATCCAAATGTCCATTGTTAACCACATCGTACACCATGTTTGCCCAAAAATCCAATATTCATTGAGCACCTCATTTGCTATGCTGAACGGAAGGATCACGGTACCCACCTAAAAACTTTTGTTTTCTTTTGAATATGAAAAATTTCTTACTAATAGATCAGCAAATGCTAGCGATAAGATTAGCAAGCCAGTGGCTGATCGCAATCGTCTTCGCAGCAAAACAGCTGCAATAACGAGAGCGTTTCCGAGAACGACCACCACAACAAGAACTGTGAGCACAGAGATTGTTGAGAATATTCTTAGGAATCCGGCTGCATTCGTTTTTCGGCTCCATTCATAAAAAGAGCATTGAATAGATCCATTGGAATACTGATCATTTGCTATCGTACTCGTTAGCAAAATTGAGGCCTCATTCAGGTTAGAGAAATCCATCCTGAGGCCAGGCGGTGATCAGCTAATCGAAGGTCAAAACCTGAATTGATCGTGTATTTTTAGAAAGTTCAAAAACTTGTAGCACAATATTAAAAACGATTGTTTGCCCAAGGGTGGATTGGCCGCTTGAGCTTAGGCAGAGTGAGGCGAAAATGTGAGAAATGAGCATAATTGCTTGGGAGACGATGTGGGGATATTTGAGAGGAGGGCGTGGGTGAGTAAGCTTTTGAACTTGTTTGTCGTGTATTGAAAATTATACGAGAAAAAAGGCGAGCTTTCTCGCGATGAAATCGACTAATTGGCCGTAAGGAGAAGAGAACAATGAAAAACATTTTCATTCATAGAAAGATTCAAACGCGGCTGCATTAGAGATTGAGAATTATTGATGAGAAAAAAAAGTACTTTGCTAGAAGAGTGTTTATTTAAACTCTAGTCGTCTCGTTGTAGGCCATCTGAGGCCCGATGGCGGCCGTGGGGAGAATGCCGGCCAGTTGCGTTAATTTCATTTAGAAGCGGAACCCCCGAGACTCGTCCATTATTCGATAATGTGAGAAAAGGGAGAAATTTCTTTTTTGAGTGTCGAATATATTAAACATTCAGAAAAGAGAGGAAAAATTGATGATTTGCTAGCGCCACTTTTAGTGGACCGAGAAAGTTTTGCAGGTGAAATCCAAACAGATGTTTCGTTTTTTGAAGTTAGCGATTTCTTCTTTGGGGAGCATTTGTAATAGCTAATTATTGACGAGAGAAAATTACTTGTTTTTAAAAACAAGAAATTATGGGTCATATTAATCAATACTTTACATGAATAGAGATGGTACTTCCCGTCACACTGGTGGTTGATTGAGAGCAGGGCGCAAAATAGCTGATGGGTTTTTTTTTCTCCTCGCCCCCTCTAGAGTCAATTCAAACACTACTTATAATGAGATGTGGCTATTTGGAAGGAGGAATGCCTACAATTTTTTGCTGCTAGGGAAAATATGGAAAGATTTTTGGGTGGCTATTTTTGCATCAAAATTGTAAATTACGTCACTCTAATTAGGACTATTCATAGAATGTCTTTGATTTTTGAGGCTAATGATTCTATTTTTAGCATTTTCCCGTCGCGATCGCCGGCATGACATCGATGGGACAAAGAATAGTGGCGTGGGATGTTCAAGAGAGCGTTCACTTCATTCGCTACAAAAGAAGGGTAAGTTTTTGGGAAAAGCCATGACTAACTCGACAACAAAACAGGGGATCGAAAATTATGTAATTTTCTGGAAAAAGCGATTCGCGACATGTTGGTTTTATGTGTTAGGTTCTAAAAGGAAACTCCTTTGCACAGCTAAACAAATGAAAAACGCTGACAGGAATAAATTGCATTTGCAAAGTTAAAGTTTTTCGAAAAATGGTAAATACTTTCAATTCGATGGAAATGGAAAAAGGAAGTGCAAGTTGTTATTTCTTTTGATTGGGGGTTTCCAGATTGCATTTTAAGGTTGAATAACCACCCCTGCCATTGCCCCCTCTCCTCCCCCCGTCGCTTTTGCTCCCAAAAAAGACTACCTTGAAAGAGCAATGAAAGAAAGGGACACTCTTTGCAAAACGACTGTCGCCCAACCCGGAAGAAGAAAAGGAAATATGAAATCCTAGTAAATAGTTTGCGACACCTGAGATGGAATTAAGAAATTCAATTCATTAAATCCTCAGTGTGCATAGATTTGTAAAGCCATGAAGAAAATCATAGACGATTTGAATTACTTGAATCTTGATGGATTTCAGGAATTCAAAAGTGTTAGGAAAAATTTATTAACTTTCAATTAAAATATCGAGAGCAGGAAGAAGTGGGTTATGAAAAATATTTGTCAAAATGAGGACTCCGTCGCCTTTTTTACATTTGGGGTCTCCCTCGGATAAATTCATTAGTGGGGACATACAAGCAATAGAAGAGGCAAAAGCGTAAATGCCCCGGCCCTCAGCTTTAATGAATACGTGGGGATGATGAATGATTGGTGTTAGATGATGGGGATGAGATGAGTGTCGGGCAAGGTAAGCATGTTTTGAACGAGACAATGTGGGGAATGGACTCCGCAAGCATTGACCATCTAAGCTCTTGCAGCAGCTTTTTCCTGCCGCTCAAGGCAAGGGGCAAATGGCGGAGTGAGGGGTGGAGGAGACACAGCGGAAGCCAATACCTATGCCCTCTTCGCCGTGTGGGGGTGAGGGGAGTCCCTTCTGAGGAGGAGAAGCTACTCTTTTCTCGCACTCATTTATAATCCTTCATCACAGCCCCGTCTTCCCCCTTTCCCCGTACCGAGGGTTGTCTCTTCAATTTTCCACACACAAATCCTATTAGTTGCATTTAAAATTTATACACTGGGGATGGAATAACAGAAATTCTTGTGAGCACTTGTGACTGTTTTGCGCATGCCATGCAAGGACGAACGCAAAATAGCTGATAAAACTGTTCCAAGACCCAAAAATTTTATGAGTGTTTTGCGAGGGGACAGTGGCAGCCTTTTGTAAACTGATTTGCTACTCGGCAACGCCGCTTTTTCATTACTAATAATGGGTTTGGGTCTATTTTTACGCTTTTTGGCGCACCGAAAATTAGTAGGTAATGAAGGTTCGGCATCAAAAAGTGCGGAAACTTGGGGATTTTTGGGATAAAAATTATTGATAGGTTTTATAAAAGTTGTTCCGGGAGTTTTGTAAGAGTTTCAAAATGGGAAAACATAAATCATGTTGAAGTAAAATGAAAAGTGCTGACAAAATGATTTTAAAATTTAAAAAGTTTTCTTTTGAAAATCGTTATATTTTTAGGATA